CCATGGAGCCGCGTGTTGCTTGAGGGGTCCCCTGGAACAGCGAGGCTGTACCTGAGAGTCCTGCTCAGCGCTGAAAACCCAGAAGCTCCTTTGAGGACCTGAGCAGAAAGCCTGACGCTCTCAGTGGCCCCTGTCACCCAGTCCAAACATGGGCCTGGGTAATGGGGCACTGCCAGGACAGCGAACTGTCACCCTGTTAAAAACGCTTGTGGGCTGGAGCAATAGAACAGTGGTTAGAGCACTTGCCTTGCACGTGGCTGATGTGGGTTGGATCCCTTGAGCACCACCGGGTCACTCTCACTGTCCTGTCCTCCCGTTGTTCATTGATTTGCTCGAGCAGGCCCAGTAACATTGTGAGACTTGTTGTTACTGTGTTTGGTATATCGAATACATCATGGGTAGCTTGTCAGACTTTGCTGTGCAGGCGAGATACTCTCAGTAGCTTGCCGGGCTCTCTGAAAGGGGCAGAAGAATTGGGAGTGGAGGAATTGAACTCGGGTTGGTCGGGTCCGCTAGGTTCAAGGCAAACGCCCTACCTGTTGTGCTACACTCCAGGTATGGCCCCAAAACAAGAGCTGTCAGTGGTGTCTGTTCCTGAAACTGCTGCCTCCCGGGCCTACCTGGGTACTCTCTCTCCTCCCCGCTCTCTCTCTCTCCCCCTTCTCTCTCCCTCCTTCTCTCTTTCTCTCTCTCCCTCTCCCTCTCTCCCCCTCCCTCTCTCCCTCCCTCTCCCTCTTCTGTTTGTCCATCCTGTCTCCTACTGCCCACAGGCTCAGCTCTGGTTCTCGGCCCCTGTGTCCTGGCCCTGCCCCCTCTCTGGCCACGCTGCCTGCATAGCTGGTTGGCTTTGGTGGGTGTTGATTAGGGAAATTATCCCCAATGGCAGGAGACTTTTTCAGTCAGGTTCAAGGTCATTGGAAACCCCCAACGCAGGCCTTGCAGAGAGAGGACTCCATCTGCTCAGCCTGGGACATAGAAAGTGCTCCCTGGCTACATGCCCCCCTGGGTGGCACAGAGGTCCCCTACTTGCACAGGACAGAGGCAGCCCCAGTACGGGGAAGGTGGGCACAGCACTTTGTAACCCAGCTGGCGATGCTGGGAGTAGCGGTCCTGGAGAAGCTCCTATCCCCAGGAACTGCTGTCACCCAGCCTGGGAGTCAAGTTTTAGGCAAATAGAGTCTGGGCTGAGTAGTCCAGGGTTGTTTTTGTGTCACACCCCAGCGGTGCTCAGGGCTTATTTCTGCACTCAGGAATCACTCCTGGTGGTGCTCAGGGGATCATATGGTGCCAGGAATGGAACCCAGGTCAGTTGTGTGCAAGGCAAGCACCTTACCCACTGCAATATTGCTCTGCCCTTCAGGTGTGAACTTTACACCAATGACAAAAGCTGGTTGGGGCAAGTGTGAGATACACTTACAGCAAAGGTGTGGCTCCCCCTTCACCCACCTTCCCTAGAGGCTTGGACTGGAGGGCTGTCACCACTCATCGTTGCCTCTCCTCTTCCTTCTTCCCAGCCCTTCCCTCACTGGCCATGTCCAGGGATCTTTACAGATGTGGCGCTGTAGCGGGGGCACAGTCAGCCTTTGTCTCTGGGGACTGTTGGGACCTTGCTTTATGGGGTTCGCTCCTGGGTGAGTCAGGCCACCCCTCACCCACCAGGAGCCGCATCAGCCCTTCCTGCGCTTGTGTCGCTTCTGTCCCCAGCCTATCAGTTCTCCTTTGGAAAGAGGATGACTTTTGTGCCTCTAATCCTTTCACGACACTGAGGAGTTTAGAGCGGATTCGGGCTACAGCCCCCACACCCGCTCTGCTCCACCTGAAGTCCTGGTTTCAGGTCTTTCGTGGACTCAGGGAGCCTCGACAGGGCCCTGATGACTCGGGTAGGGGTGAGGAAGCATAGAAAACTGCTTCAAGAAGCACACTGGTGGGCTCATCTCACCGCTGAAGGCCCAGGGAAGCCCTGTCCCAGGTCCCGGGGCTGAGATCTCTGAGCCTGCTGGGGTGGGGGCAGGCTGAGTTCCTGCCCTGTCCGGAGACCCAGTGCCCCCCACCCCCACATCTGAGGCATGTAAACAGCTTCTTAGCTCCACACTCATCTGAAGAGATGCCAGGCTGCCGGATCGCCCCAGTTCCAGCGCTCCCGGAGTCTGCGGCCACACACACGGCCGCACCGCCCAGTGGGGCACAGCAAAGAGATGGGAAAGTTGTGCGGAACCCACTAAGCCAAATGAGCCAAAACAATAGCACCTCACAGCTCAGCGAATCCCTTCTTGAGGGTGATGGAAAGTCACACCGCTGTGAGATGTATGTTGTTGCAAGCAACAGAAAGTAAATTATTTTGTGCCTGCTCAGAGGGAAGCCTGGAGACGTTGGTGGAGGGGAAGGCACCTGGTGGGGGGAGTGTCTGGAAGATTGGACGCCTGACGCAGCTGGTTCTGTTTTCTGAAAAGCTTTGTCAATTAGGGCATTTAAAGTTAAGTGTGAAACAAGGATAATAATAGAAAGAAACACAAAGGCAGCTGGAGAGATAGTCAGGGGTGAAGGCACCTGCCTCATGCGGGGCCAAACACAGCTTGATTCCTGGTCCCACGGTGTCACCCGGGCCCTGCAGGTGGACGCAGCTGAGGTCCTCACACCCTGGCACTGCAGGCTGGTGGAGGAGGCAGCTCCTGAGAGAGCGGGTGTTGGGGAAGCAGCTCAGCCCATTATAGAGCACACAGAGACCCGGGATTTTGTTTTTCCTTCATTAAGTCCAAAACACAGGCGAACCGCAGCCCCCTCCCTGCATAATGAGACGCTAATGAGACACGTGACAGGAGCAAGCGCGTCCTCCTGGGCTTAATTTCCCTCTTTTCTGGCCATATCTGGTGGTGCTGCGCCCAGCATGGTGCTTGGGGTACCATGTGGTGCCGGGGACTGAACCCCCCACATTGTCCTTAAGGCCCGCATGACTGTAGCACCACCAAATTGTGCCCGTGTGCTCCTGCTCGCTCCACAAAGTGCCTTACCCAAACCCCAAGGCTTGGCTCTTGTGGAATCCCCACCAGGCCGACTGGGAGCAGCCAGTGCGCACCCAGACTCGGCTGTAGAAATGGAAGCACGACCCAGTCTGAGGGCTCCCAGGGCTGGGCATTTGCGGGCAGCAGAGTGGAAAGAACAGAGTGGTCAGCCCATCTCAAGGACACCCGGTGCGGGTCCGTGGGCACCCAGGAGGTCTCCGGCTCTTGACTGTTCACGATGGAGACCCGGAAGGGCCGAGTTCCCCCACCTGGGGACAGGGGTCTTGTCGTAAGCAGATGCGCCCAGGCTGTACTGTTGCTCTAATAAATCTGCTGCCACTGCATTCTTGTCCTAGGATTCATTCCAGTGGTGGTCACTCATCTGTCCAGCCCAGCCTAGGTCCCAGCACTGCCCGAGGTGTGGCTGGCAGAGGGTTAATTGCCAAAGTCCCTCTGATCACTGGGACCTCCCAGGCTCTGACCTCCCACAATTGGTCTCAGAAGGTGGTGCGAGGGTTGCCCCAGGTCTCCCTTGGTCTGACACTCATGCTGTCCGCCACTCTGCTCCCGAGCCCTGGCCAGAGCAGGGTCCTGCTCTGTGGCCCCTCCGGAGGGAGACGTGGGCAGTGTGTGTAAGGCCAGCTGGGGTCACAGCCACTTCCAGCCGCGTTCAGAGCTCTGAGGTGGCCATGTCCCAGGGGAGTCTCTGGGGACGCAGAATGGTGAGGTGAGCAGGTCAGGGCAAGACTGGGCTGGGACCCTACCTCAGGGGCCGCCACACCCTGCCTTGGTGCCTTGGTGACCCTCCTTTGGTGACGATGATGACCCCTCGCCTCTGTCCCGAACACCAGAGTGAGTCAGGACATCAGCGCCTTGGCCACCCCACTGCCGGGCCAGCTTTGGGGAACAGAGGTCCAGGTCTCACAATGCCTGGCTGGCTGAGGGGTCCGGGCAGTGGGGGGATGAGGGGGTGCTGCAGTCTTTGAGCATGTCCAGAAGCAGTACCGCCGTGGGGACGGGAACGGATTTTGGCGAGATTTGCTGACCTGCTGGCCCTCGGGAAGCAGAGTGGAGAGTGACCCAAACCGTGGGCCCTGCCATAGTCTGCCCACCAGGCTGGGGATTGTCCCAGCCCTCACAGCGGGTGCTGTGGGAAAAGGTGGGGGCATTCATGGGGCCAGGAAGAACGGACAGAAGAGGGGGTGCTCTGGCCAAGGGGTGGCTCTGGAAGCAGGAGCACAGTTCATTACTCAGAGGGTCCCTTGAGGGCTCCCTGTAGCCCATGTTGCAAGGTCTTCCCACAGGCCTTTGCCATTCCCAAGGGCCTGTCCCAGGGTCTGGGGGAAAGGCCCCTGGCACTGCGGCCTGGGTGAGGTAGGTGACCCCAGCTGGCGTGATCCTGGAGTGAGCAGCGGGGAGAGTGCCAGGTGCCCCCAACACCTAGAGTAGGGGGCGCTTGTTAAGGCCCACCCCTCCATCCGCCAGGGCAGAGTGGGGGACCGGTCCCTGGCTATGGGGGGTCCCGACTGAAATCTGCGTGCACGGAAGAACAGCTGGGCACACGGTGGGGATGGCTGCGACGGAAACGGGCCCCGGCTCCCTCGGGAGAGGAGCTGGAGCAATTCCCGCCGACGGTCTCCCCGGCCGGTCCTCGGAGACCCCGAGAGCGCGCCCCTGGGGCGCAGGCCAATCTCGGGCGCCGCGGCGGTGGCCAAGGAAGCGGGCGGCGGGCTGGGGCCGGGGCGCAGCGCGCGCCCGTTGCTAAGGCCGCGGCGCCCTGACGACGGGGCGGGCCGCGCCTGCGCCGTGGGGCGGGGCCCGCGCGCCCGTTGCCAAGGCCGCGGCGTCCTGACGACGGGGCGGGCCGCGCCTGCGCCGTGGGGCGGGGCCCGCGCGCCCGTTGCTAAGGCCGCGGCGCCCTGGCGACGGGGCGGGCCCGCGCCTGCGCCCGGGGGCCGCGGCGCGCTGCGCGCTGGGAGCGGAGCGGGCCGCGGAGGCCGGCGGGCGGCGGGGCCGGCGGCCGGGCGGGGGCGGGCGGCGCCATGAACGCGGCCGTGGTGAGGCGCACGCAGGAGGCGCTGGGCAAGGTGATCCGGAGGCCGCCGCTGACGGAGAAGCTGCTCAACAAGCCGCCGTTCCGCTACCTGCACGACATCATCACCGAGGTGATCACCGGGGCGCGGCGGGGCCGGGCGCGGCGGGGCGGGCCGGGGGCGGGCCGGGGTCGGGCCGGGGTCGGGGTCGGGCCGGGGTCGGGGCCGGGGTCCGGGCCGGGCTCCTGCGGGTTTCCCGCCCTCTCCTCGTCCCTAAGCCCCAGCCCCCGGGCCCTGCGTCCTGCTCCCAGGGCCGTTTCCGTGGCGACCCCTCCCGTGAACCTGTGTGTGTGTGTGTGTGTGTGTGTGAGACAACCTCCGTGTGTGTGAGAACCTCTTGTGTGTGACATCCTCTGTGTGTGTGTGAAACCTTCGTATGTGTGAGAACCTCCGTGTGTGTGACAACCTTTGTGTGTGACAGCCTTCGTGTGTGAGAGAACCTCCGTGTGTGTGACAACCTTCGTGTGTGTGAGAACCTCCGTGTGTGTGACAACCTTCGTGTGTGTGAGAACCTCCGTGTGTGTGACAACCTTCGTGTGTGTGAGAACCTCTTGTGTGTGACATCCTCTGTGTGTGTGTGACAACCTTCGTGTGTGTGAGAACCTCTGTGTGTGTGACAACCTCCGTGTGTGACAGCCTTCGTGTGTGAGAGAACCTCCGTGTGTGTGACAAACTCCGTGTGTGTGAGAACCTTTGTGTGTGTGAGAACCTCTTGTGTGTGACATCCTCTGTGTGTGTGTGAGAACCTCTGTGTGTGTGAACCTTTGTGTGTGTGACAACCTCCGTGTGTGAGAGAACCTCCGTGTGTGTGAACCTCCTTGTGTGTGACAACCTTTGTGTGTGTGTGACAACCTCCGTGTGTGACAACCTTCGTGTGAGAGAACCTCCGTGTGTGTGACAACCTTTGTGTGTGAGAGAACCTCCGTGTGTGTGACAACCTTTGTGTGTGAGAGAATCTCCGTGTGTGTGAACCTCCTTGTGTGTGACAACCTTTGTGTGTGTGTGACAACCTCTGTGTGTCTGTGAGAACCTCCGTGTGTGTGAACCTTCGTGTGTGAGACAACCTCCATGTGTGTGAGAATCTCCAGGTGTATGTGAGAACCTCCGTGCATGTGTGTGCGCGCGCTCGTGGGAGGGGGTCAGGCTGAGCCCCGCTTGTGTGTGTGTGTGTGCATGCGTGCTCCTGGGAGGGGATCAAGCCAAGCCTGTTGTGTGTGTGTGTGCGCGTGCGTGCACGCACTAGTGGGAGGGGGTCAGGCCGAGCCGGAGTGTCTATTGCGGTGACCTGGGAGTGGAGGGAAGGTGTCCGCGCTGTGTTGATGCCCGCCTCCTGGTAACTGGCCGCGCTGCCATCTCCATCTCCATGTGCGCGGCCAGCAGGGCCTGGGGCCAGTGGGGAGCGGACCCCTGGCGCTGCTCTCCCCGCGGTCCTTCGACTTTCCGTCTCGGTGCCCGTCCCCGTGCCTCTGGTCCCACCCGCTGCCTGCCCTGGACAGTGTGCGCACCCCTGTGCCCACGGGCGGCTCTTCTGTCCCTTCCTCACGGCAATCCTGCAGAAACAGCGGGCGAGGGTGGCCGCTGGCCCACCTCCTGGGTGGGGAGTGGGGACGTGCCCCGGCTACAGAGGTCAGCGCTGGGTCCAGCCCGGCCGTGCGTGGCCCGGCTCAGGGCAGTGACCGTCCCTCTGTCCCCGCAGAGCAGTGCCGCCCTGTCAGAAATCCAGGCTCACTGCACACACAGGAGGGTCTTGCGCTCACTGGGGGGTGTTTAGCCGGAGATGGTGCCCCGGGGAGGGCGCTTGCTTTGCAGGGCTGACCTGGATACCTGGGTTGACCCGCGACATCCCACAGGGTCCCCGAACTCTGCCAGGAGGCATCTCTGAGCACAGCGCCAGGAGTCAGCCTTGGGCTGACTTGCCAGCTGTGGTCCAAGAGCCGCAGAAAGATTATTGGTCCCAGTTCCCGGGAGATCCCGCGAGGGAGGCGTGCGAAGGCCCGGGAGCGCGTGTCCAGCTCCGGGATGGAGATGCACCCTCCCGTGACCGAGGGGCATGGAGCCCGCGGCCACTGGAGGCCTCCCCCGTCGGCCCCTTCCCTCCGCCTCCCACCCCCCTCCCTGCCTCCTCCCTTCTCCAGACACGGCCCTGCACTGGCCCGGGCCTGGCTGCCTGAGCCTGCGACCGTGGCCGGAAGCCGTGCCCAGCCCAGTCTGGCTTTTCCTCCGTGTTTGGCGATGGTTTTCGGGGAACCTGTTCGTTCCCGTGGCCCGGTGGATGTGCCGGGGGGAGCAGGGGCGGTTGCACCCTGAGCGTTAGTTGGAGGATGAAGTGTAGGCTTGGGAGAGGACAGAAGTGACGGGGTGGAGGGCCAAGGCGGTGCGCTCCTCCTCCTGGGTCAGAGAGGGCCGGTGACCCTCGTGGGCCGCTCCAGCCCTCAGGGCTATGCAGTCCCTACCAGGCCCTGCCAGCGTGGCCTCAGGCGGCTGCCAGGACTGGGGTGCGGGGCGTGGTGTGGGGCCACAGTGTTGGTTGGGGGGTGGGCTGGAGCGAGGTGGGGCTGGGCTGCTCTCCTAGAGCCGTGGGACCCTGTGTGGCCCCCGCTCCTTCCTGCTGAGCAGAGCCCCGGCACCTTCACCCGGGCGGGTGCACACCTGTTCCACGGGGCACTGGGGCCGGGGTTCCCCAAGGGGCACTCTCCTCCCCTCTCTCCCTCCCTCCCTTCCTCCTCTTCCTCCTCTCTTTCTCTCCCTCTCTCCCTCCCTCTCCTTCCCTCGCTCTCCCTTTCCCTTTCTCCCCCTCCCTCCCACCCTCTCTCTCCTTTTGTCTTTCTTCATCTCCCTCTGTCCCTCTCTCTCTCTCTCTCTCTCTGTCTCTCTCTCTTTCCCTCTCCCCCTCCCTCTCTCCCTCTCTTGCACTTTCCTGCTCTCTCTCAGGTGATCCGGGTGACGGGCTTCATGAAGGGGCTGTACACGGACACCGAGATGAAGTCCGACAACGTGAAGGTGAGTTTGGCCCCAGCCACCTTCTAGTTCGTCCTCCCCTGGCCAGCGTGTTTCCCCTGGGGCTTGGACCTCATGGGTCAGAGGGACCGTGAGCCCTGGTAAAGGCGAAGGGCGTTCGCGGTGTTTCTGCTCTGGGAGCGGCTCTCCGAGCTGGACCCGAGCTGAGCACGCCGGGCAGGGGGGGGAGGGGGACACAGTGAGGCTCGAGGCATCACGTGCAGGGTGCGAGTCTGCCCCTTCCGCCCCTGTAGGAGAAAGATGCCAAAATGAGCTTCCTGCAGAAGGCCATCGACGTGGTGGCGCTGGTGTCCGGGGAGCCGCTGTCGGCCAAGCCCGCCCGCATCGTGGCCGGCCACGACCCCGAGAGGACCAACGAGCTGCTCCAGGCCATCGGGCGCTGCTGCCTCCACAAGGTGGGGCTCCGGGTCTACACACACCGTGCTCCCCGCCCCTCCTCCTCCCCCAGGCCCCCCCCTCTCATTTCTCTCCCTCCCTGCTGGGGCTGGCCATGTCCCCTCGAGCCCTCCCTGTATGCCTTACCTGGGCTCTGGTCACATGAGGGCTCGGGTTGGGGAGCTGCAGCCACTCTGTGGCCTGGGAGTGGAGTCAGGGCATCTGCAGGGACGTCTGCTGCGGGGCAGGGGTGCGGCTCCTCGGCCCACACAGCGCAGGAGTGGGCGCAGGCCTCCGAGGGCCCCTGGGAGGTGGGCAGTGAGGACAGTGTGTGAGGGGCCGAGGGCATGCAGCCTGGAGAGAGGCTTTATGGTCTTGACTGGGCGCTTCTGGGCGGCCTGTTCAGGGCTGGTCCCCAGATGGCGGATCCTTGGGGTTGGGGCTGGGGTGGCAGCGCGGGCTGGGAGCTGAGCCATGTCCCCCCCAACTGCCCTCCACCTGGTGCCAGCTGTGCAGTGACGAGGCTGTGAAGAGAGTGTTAGCCGGGGAGAAGGGGGACGCCCGAGGAAGGCCCCCCGTGTCCTCCAGGCCGCAGGAGGCCGATGGCAAGAGCGGGAGCACGCGGGAGGACGGGGAGCGAGCGCACCAGGACGGGGAGGTGAGTGGCCTGGGTTCGGGAGGGGAGGAGGGGAGGGCTGACGTGCAGATGCTCACACGTGACTGCTGGGTCCTGCAGGACAGGAGGGCCCCAGAGGCCGGCGAGGCCAGCCCCGGCCGAGAGCACAGGCGGAAGGAGGAGCCGAGGGAGGAGAGCCGCACGCGGGACAAGCCCAAGGACGGCGACCGCGAGCGGCACAAAGAGGCCGAGAGGGAGCGCGAGCACGAGAGGACGAGGACCCGGACCCGGACGGAGCGCGCCAAGGACGGGGACCGCGAGCGGGAGCGCAGGAGCGAGGGCGGGCGGGAGAAGGAGCGGTGGAAGGACCGGGACCGGGAGCGTGAGCGGGACAAGGGCAGGGACCGGGACCGAGACCGGGACCGGGACCGGCGGCGGCTGAGGAATGGGGAGCACGTGCGGGACCCTGACCGGGAGAAGAGCCGGGAGCACGACCGAGCAGACAAGAGGGTGAGGCCCCATCCCTGCCCTGCTGCGTGTGCCCGTGTGTACAGAGGCACCCCGTCAGTGGGCATGTGCCTGTGTGTTTAGTCATCCCCGTTAGTGGGCGTGTGCCCATGTATACAGTCATCCCCGTCAGTGAGTATGTGCCGTGTGGTGTACACTCACATCTGGTAGTGGGCATGTGTGCCCGTGTGTACAGAGTCACCCCCAATAGTGGGCATGTGCCCATATGTGCAGTCACCCTCGTCAGTGGACGTGTGCCCGTGTGTACGGAGTTACCCCTGTCAGTGGGCAACTGCCCGTGTATACAGTCACCTCCGGTAGTAGGCCTGTGTGCCCTGTTAGTGGGCGTGTGCCCATGTGTAGATGCTCACGTGTCCGTGTGTACCCGTGTGGCCTGCGAGGTGTGTGCATGGCTGTGCAGGGCATTTGTGGTGGTGTACTGCAGGAACTCGGGTGTCGCTGAGGTGTGTGTGGGACCCCTGAGGGGCAGGGGCCGCATGGCAGTGGACCCCGTCATGAGGGGTGACCCTGTTCTGTGGCCCCCTGGGGGCTGTGGGCCTGTGAGGCAGCTTCTGCAGCCGTGAGCAAAGTCGTCGGGGGTGTCGGAGATGCTCTCTCCTGTGCCCGCAGGAAGGCGGGTGTGGGGCGGCCACTGGGGGCTCCTGCTGCCCCCGCAGGTGCTTCTCCCTGACTCTGAGGAGACCCTTTGTCCCGCAGTCTGCAGGCGGTGGGGAGACGAGCAGGAAGCTGCTCGACGGGGCCTTCAAAGACAGCAAGGCCGAACCCGAGGTGAGCGCCCTGCCCGCGACAGCGCCAAATTGGGGCCAGGCTTGGGTGCCACTGGAGTGGGCAGTGCCAGGTGCCTCTCCTCCCCTCCTTGTGCCGACGGGGGTGTGGGGAAGGTGCGGGCAGTCGCGGGGGTCGGCACCAGGAGGGGACCGAGACTGTCCTGGGCTGCGTTGGGACCCGCTGCCACAGTCTCTTGTGTGATGGAGCATGGGCGGCCCGAGGGGCGGAGGCTGCAAGGGTGAGGCACCGCGGGAGGGCCCTGGACAGGTGGCCCAGCGGGTGGGGGTGACAGGCCGAGGTGTTGAGGGCTGCCCGTGCTGCACGACATCGCCTGTTCTCTTCTCTTGAGGCCGAGCTGTCCAGCAGGGCGTCCAGGTCCACGGTCACTAAGACGTCAAAGCGGCGACCCAAGAACTCCCTGGAAGGTACCACAAGCCTCCTCCTTTGTCAGTGAGGACACAGCCCGGGGTGGGGAGGCTGGGGGTGCAGGGACGATGCGCGAGAGGGACGGGGGACAGAAGAGGGGGCGGGTGGATGTGCCACCTGCCCAGGTAGGTTTGGTGGCTCCTGAGTGGAGTCTTGTCACCATTTCAAAGACGAAGTGGGATCTCAGGCCTGGAGGCAGGGCCTCCACATGTGATGCCCTGAGGTGGGGCCCCCCATGCATGAAGCCCTGAGGCGGGTCCCTCCACACGAGAGCCCTGAGACCAGCCCCCCCCCCACGTGATGCCCTAAGGCAGGTCCTCCCCCACGATGCCATGAGGCGGGTCCCCCCACACGTGATGCCCTGAGGTGGGTCCCCCCACACGTGATTCTCTGAGGTGGGGGCCCCTACACGTGATGCCCTGAAGTGGGGCCCCTGCATGTGATTCCCTGAGGTGGGGGACCCCCTGGCACCCGTGGGCGTCTTTGGGATGCCGACGTTTCTCTGGGACTGTCTGTGGGGCACGCTCTCCAGCGGATGTTGGGCCGCAGCCGTCCAGGCTGTCCACAGGCCTGTCTAGGAGGCAGGAGGGTGCAGCCCCCTCGGGTCTCCTCTCCACATTCTGCCCCGCCCTGATGCGTCCACCCACTCCTGCTCTGGACTGTTTCTTCCTCTTGGCAGTTTGTCAGAGCACTGAGAGCTGGCGCTGTGCTTTGTTTCCATCATGACCCTTTCAAGTCAGTAACTTCTGGTCCAGAGCGAGACTCAGAATTACTTATTTGTTCTGATTTTTGCTCTTTTTGAAAATAGGGCCAGTCTCCAGTAGGGCCCACCTTGAGCTCGCACCTGGCATTCTCTGGTCCATGGTGGCGGGAGCTGGAGTTAGCTTGTGCGCGGGCCCCTTGCCCGTGTCCCCGCCTCTAGGGTCGGGTCTCATGATGCTCCCGGGACTGTGCTCCTGCCTTCCCTGCTGTTCAGCACGAGCTAGTCTTGACTGGCTGCGGTGTCCAGATACTTCTCAACCATATATCTCCGGCACACATGCACGTGTATGCACTCAGTACATGCACACATGTGCACACACATGCACTCGTACACAGCATATGCATACACATGCACACTCACAACACCTGCATACTCATGCACATGCTTGTACACACGCACACACTTATGTACTCAATGAGTGCGCACACACATGCACACATGTGCACACTCCACACTTGCACACTCATGAACTCACATGAGTACACATACTTGTGCACATGCATGCAGACATGCACACCCAGGTGCACCTCCACGTGCGCATGTGCTCATACTTATACACATGCACCATATGTGTGCCTGGGCACACAGTACACACGTGCACACATGTACATGAACAGGCACGCAAGAGCTTCCTGGCACACCTGCTCTTTGCCGACTCTGGTTGGCCCCCTCCCAGAGAGCTGATGCCCCACCTCCGTGGACATGTGGGTCGGACTTGAGGTGTGGTCCCCTGAATCTGCGGGGTGCTCCTGTGCCCTGCTGTGGGCCCAGGCTCTGCCCTCCTGCAGTTCCTGCCCCTTGTGTTTGGGGGCGTTGGGGCCCAGCACAGTCCCCGTGCACATGGCCTTGGGGGACTGGCAGCTGCCTGCATGCGTGCCCGCCCAGGGGCAGCCTGGCCTTTGTTGGGGGCGTCTGCACCGGGTCGGGGCCAGGCTCCCAGGCCCTCCCAGCTCAGCTGCGCCATTCCTGCTGGCCACCGAGGTGTGGGCACGCCTGCTGCCTGGACAGTGGGCGGTGTAGACTTGCCTACACACCACTCGGGCTGCGGGACGGTGGCTCTGGACTCGCCCTTGGCTCCCTTGCATCAGTCACCCTGCTCTGCTGGGTCTGCAGGGTGTAGAGCCTCTGGCATGGGTCCGTCCCTGCCTTCCACCACTGGCCTCCCATCCATCTGTCCATCCATCTGTCCATCTGCGCTCCTTCTGCCTGTCCTGTCTGTCAGTAGGCTGTCGGTCTATCTGTCCGTCTGTCTCTAGGCTGTCTGTTGTCTGTCAGTAGGCTGTCAGACTGTCTGCCTGTCTGTCTCTAGGTTCTCCGTCCATCTGTCTGTCCATTTGTCTGCCCATCTGTCTCTAGTCTGTTCTACCGGTCATCTATCCATCTGTTTCTAGACTGTCCGTCCATCTGTCCGTCTGTCTCTAAGTCGTCGGTCTGTCCATCTGTCTTTAGACTGTCAGTTCATCACTAGACCATCCGTCCATCTCTGTCCATTCATGTGTCCCTAGACCATCCATCTGTTCGTCTGTCTCTAGGCTGTCGGTCCATCTGTCCGTCTGTCTCTAGGCTGTCCGTTCATCTGTCTGTCTCTAGGCTGTCCGTCCGTCTTTCTCTAGGCTGTCCATCCTTCTGTCCATCTGTCTCTAGGCTGTCCGTCTGTCTGTCCGTTTGTCTCTAGGCTGTCCTTGCCACTGCAGCTTCAAGATTCTTTGTGATGAGAACCCAGGGGCCATGAGGCTCTTCCATATGAGACGGTGGTCAGTTGGGGTCCTGCAGACAGCTGCTGGGGTGAGGGGGGCCATGCAGGTGTCCAGGGCTGCATGGGCCCATGAGCTGGAGCGGCTGGGCTGAGGTTCGGACATGGCACACGCTCTCCTCAGCATGTGCGCGTCAGAGCCAGGGCACCCGGGTAGTGTGCAGGGAGGACAGGACAGGTCCGGGGCTGGCGGGCACCAGCCCGGGTCCCATGGGTCAGGGCCAGATGCTGGTTGGGTAGGTAGGACTGGATGGCCCCTCTGGCACGGGGCATTGGTGTGAGGGAGCCAGCAGGCGAGGGCAGAGGCAGGAAGGGTTGGAGGCCGCAGGGTCTGAGCAGAGACCTGCCCGCCCATGGCACCGAGACGGTCAGAGAAGCTGGAGGCTGGTTGGGACAGGGTCCAGGCGCGCCTCCCACCTTGGGGACACTGGCGCTCACCATCGAGTGAGCCGGTGGACTGGGTGACCAGGCACAGACCCCACCAATGCCAGAGAGCTGTCAGGCACGGACCCTGAGCCCTTAACTGCTCTTTGCTGTCTCACTGTCAGGAAGGAAGGAAGCTCTTATCTCAGCTAAAGTCTTAGATCCCATAGTGCGCGGAGGGAAACACGGAGCAGAGCAGGAACTGGCAGCTCCAAAGATAGGTAAGGAGCATGTGCACCGTGGTCAGCGCCTGGACGGGCCCTTGGCCCGCCCCCATGGCCCAGCGCTGGCGAGGCCCTGACCTGGCCCGTGCCCCAGCACCTGCTCGTGTCTCGCGACTACCTCGGGCACAGAGAGCTCAGCTCAGCTCGCGTCCACTTGTGTTTGAAGTGGCCTTTCCTGCGGTGGGGGAGTGTGTCTTAGCAGGTGATCGGGGCATGGGGCCTGCACTCCAGTGTTCGGGGGTGCCCAGGGCACGAGCCTGCAGTCCCGTTGCTGTGCTGCACCAGCTCCCCAGACCGGAGGCGTCCTGAGTGCGTTCAGGACACCACGTGGTGTGAACTGTGACTCGAGGGAAAACAGACCCTTTTTTCTACCCAACGTGTATTTTCTGACCTTTGACCTGTTAGGTCACGCCTTGGTCTGTCCCTGGTGCCCACAGAGACCCTGGCAGAGGCGACGCCCTTAGGGGCTTTCTCTCCCCACAGACCACGAGCATGGGCCTTGCCCTGCCTGCCACAGCCGGGAGACCCCAGAAGGCCTGTCCCCACAATCTCTCAGGCACAGTGGGGTTGGGCCACAGCCACAGAGGACACAGAGGGGACCCCTCGGGGCCTGGAGGACAGTGGGGGGACCTGGGGGGACCCCTCATTGGTGTGCAGGACCCAGAGAACAGCAGGGACCCCTTATTGGTGTGCAGGGCCCAGAGAACAGTGGGAACCCCTTGGGGGTGGGCAGGGCCTGGAGGACAGTGGGGACCCCTCAGGGGTGGGCAGGGCCCAGAGGACAGCGGGGTCCCCTTGGGGGCAGCCAGGGCCCGGAGACAGTGGGGACCCCTCTCTGCCCCTGGGTGTGGGCTGGGCAGGGGGAAGCCAGGCCACATTATGAAATAGGAGCGAGGAGCCACATCTGTCATGGGCTCCTATCCCTGGCATGGTTGGTATTCACTGTGACAGGCGGTCAGGCATTCCCAGCAGGGCGCCCCCTGGTGGCTGAGCGCTGCCCCTCCCTGCCGTGTGACTCTCTTCCGGCCTCTGGGGTGCCCGTGTGGCTCAGCCCTCGGAGCTGGACTCCGGAGCCTGGCCCTAGTCGGGTGAACCTGGCTGTAGCCGCTTGGCCTGGGAGTCCCCCAGGCTCGTTGGGCGGCTCTGGGCATTCTGGAACACTCAGTCCCCATTGCTGGATTTCCCGGGTCCCACGTCTCCCTTTTCTCTCGAGGGGAAGGGTCATCGTGGCCCTGTGGGTGCGCCTCGCCCTGCACCCCTTCTGGTCCTGGCAGCTCCCCGGGGAGGCGACAGGCTGGGGGCCCGGCTGGGCTGTTTCCCGGTGTGGACGCCGTCTGTCTCATGCTTCTGTGTGGGGCATGGGGACATGCCCTGGGCGACACTCTCTTTGGCAGGACACTCGCCTGTGCGGGGACAGTGACACGTGTGCGGGTGCTGACCCTCTGTCCTTTCATGTCAGGGCCTGGGGACGTCGATGGACACTCAGCCAGCGTTCCCGAGAGCCACCCGGCCAGCCTGTGGCCCGGGAACCACGAACCAGAGGCCACAGAGAAGCAGAAAGGTCAGGATGGCCCTGTCCCCTCAAAGTCCCCACACTGGGCACAGCTCTGTCCCCCTCCCCCATTTCCCGCCCCGGGCCCTGTAGACACCCCCAGCCCGCAGCCATCAGGGCCGCCGTGCCCGGCTCGTCCCCGCCCTGGCGTTCTGTCCTTTCATGGCCTCTCCTATGGTCCTTGACTTCTTAGAGGATGAGCCGCAGGCCCCATTAGACACTGGAATCTTCTAGAAACAAGTTTCAGAATCGGGGCCGGAGCTCCCCAGTCTGAGCTGCGACCCCCAGACTGCATGGTGGGAGGGGACCTTTGCGTCACGGTGGGGTGCGGGGCTCACCTGGAAGGAGCAGGAGCCCCGGGATTGGGAGGGGAGGGACAGGCTCTGTCTGTGTGTCTGTCTGCTGAGGGGCAGAGGGATGGGTTGTGTCTGACTGTCTGTCTGCCGAGGGGTTGGTGGCCGGTCTTGGGTATGGAGATCGTGGGTAGGTCCGCGGTGGGGGTGGGAGACCCGGGGGCCCATGTCAGGCGTGCAGGCGTGCTCGCCTCAGAGTCTGTCACTCCTGCAAGCCACACCGGGCACAGCTGCCTGGGACTCCCCGCTGCACTGCTGAGCCCCCCTCAGCTGGCCTCAGTGTCCCGGGGTCCTGCTAGGGTCCCCTGTGCTTCTTGCTGAAGGGGCCAGCCGGGACCATGGTGTCTCCGGCCTGGCCCAGGAGGGTCGCGTCCGTGTGCCGTGGCAGGGTCTCACCTGTCCTGTGTTCTTTGCAGGAGACTCCCCGAGCGAGGCAGGTGAGAGACAGGCCGGGGCGGGTGCTGCGGCTGTGCCCAAGGCTCAGACTCCTTCCCGGGTCGATGTGTCCAAAGGCCTGTTCCAGGGGTTTCTCCTGGAGGATGAAGTTTAGTTCCGCCTTCACATCTGGGTTCTCTTGCCGATGTCATCAGGAGCAGCCGAGCGCCGCACTGAGCGAGACAGGGCGCAGCACAAATACTGTTTCTTTTTTTTTTTTTTCTTTTTGGGTCACACCCAACAATGCACAGGGGTTACCCCTGGCTCATGCACTCAGGAATTCCTCCTGGTGGTGCTCAGGGGATCATATGAGATGCCGGGGATCGAACCCGGGTCGGCCGCATGCAAGGCAAATGCTCTCCCCGCTGTGCTATCGCTCCAGCCCCACAAATCCCGTTTCTTGCTGCTGCTCTCTCACGAGCTGTGGGAAGCCCTAGTTTTCTGTTTGCTTGTTGGGGAACCTCAGCAAGTGGTGCTGGGGCCTTGCAGGGCCGAGTCGGTGGGGCGCGTCCACACGGCCTCCCACAGGAGACCGAGAGCTCGACGGGGCGCGCCCAGCTAGGAAAGGGCCGGGCAGGGGCCTGAGGAGCGCAGGAAGGCGGGAATCCACTTGGCCTTGTCCTGCCCTCAAGGGCCCTACGGGGAGACGGGGAGAGAGCGAGAGTCCCCCTGGCCCGGCCCGCCCTCCTTCCTGACCAGCTGCTCTTGTGCGTGCAGAAGCGGCGGCGGCTGTCCAGGGGAAGCCCGAGGCACCCGAGAACCCAGAGGCGCCCAGTGAGCTGACCTCTGCCGTCAGGTCTGTCCCGCGCCTCTGCCCTACCTTGGGGCCGTGGCTCCGCACCTTCCTCCCCTCCCCCTGCTCGGCACTGGGGCGTCTGCGCCTACCTCCCCCAGCCCTGCTGGGCACTGGGGTCCCCATGTTCTCCTCCCCCGACCCTGCTCGGCACTGGTGGGGTCCGCGTCCTCCGCCCCTACCGCTGCTCGACACGGGTCTGTGCCCTGATCTCCTGCTCCAGCCCTGCATTTCTCTACCCTTGTGATGTTTTTTTATGATGGTGAGAAATCGTTTGTACAGAGTTAATGTGGCTGGAGGGGGCGGAGGAGGGATCGAGCGTCTCAGAAATGTGGGTGACCCCGGTTTGGCCACACCGGCTCAGGCATCTTGGCACCGTCACCGTCTGACGTGCCGCAGGGTTGCAGTGCCTGGCGGGGGGTAGTGTGCAGGGAGGGGGGGTCGGGCAGCACCTGGCTCTCTGGCCTGCCCACCAGCAGCGTGCCCGACGTCCCGCTTCCTTCGCCCACTTTCGGTTCAGAAGGATAGCCCGTCCGGGGAGCGCCCGGCCCGCCCCGCCCCGGGTCAGACGGCAGGACAGCACCGAGGTGCCGACCGCTGACAGGTGAGGCTCAGCCGAGGGCGAACTCGCGGCCGCGCTGGCTGGGAGGTGAGCTCGGCACCCATGGCCTCCTGCGGGATTTCCTCCTCAGGGCTGTGAATGGGAAGACCGTCGCCAACGTGATCATTGACAGTCAGGGCGCTGACAACGAAGACGACGATCAGTTCGTGGTGGAGGCCGCGCCCCAGGGCTCTGAGCTGACCGAGTTGGAGTCGGTGTGTAGGAGCGCACACGCATGCGCGCATGTGTGTGAGTGTGTGTGTGTGTGTGTGCGAACTCATACATACGAGCCTTTGTGTATGTATGTGTTTGTACATGAGTGTGTGTATGAGCATGTGTGTGTGTGCTCGTATGTTGAGCGTGTGTGGGAGTTCGTGCGATGAGCGTGCGTGGACTGATGTATGAGAGCACGTGAACTTGTGGAAGTTCGTATGATGAACGTATATGTGTGTGAGTTCATTTGTATATATGTGTGTGCGAGCTTGTATGTATTAGTGTGTGTGTGTAACAGCTTGTATTCTGAGCACGTGTGTTTCAGCTTGTATGTGTGGGCATGTGAGCTCATTATACGTGTGTAAGCTTGTATGTATGTGGGTGTGAGAAGCTGTGTGAATGTGTGTGATGTGTCTATTTCATAGGGGCCACAATCTGTGCTCAGAGCCCATGAGATGCCTGCTCGTGTATCCCCATCCCTTTGTTCCTGTCCCCGTGTCCCCCCGCGCTGTCCCCAAGTCCCTGTCCCTTCTGTCTTCTTGAGCGTGGTGATGGCCCGGAAGTGGTGCTGGTGGCTTCAGGAGTTCAGCAGCTCTGACTCTGGGGGCCGGAGCCATAGCACGGGGTGGGGTCAATCTTCGGGTCCCCATAGGGTCCCCTGAGCACTGCCAGGAGTAATTCTTGAGCACAGAGCCAGGAGTAATTGCTGATTACCACCAAAACCCAAAACCATTCCAGGCCTGGCTCTGGTTTGAGGGGCTTGTGGGGTCTCCCGGGCATTGCTCAGGGGCCCCAAGGCCTCTCTTGGCGAGACTTGGCTGCCTAGGGGTGCTTGAGTTCCCGGGCCCTGCATTGCTGGGGCCGTCGGGGCTGTGCCCGGTGTGGCGGGGGGTGGGGGTGGGTGGCGGCACAACTGCGACGCCCCCAGCTGTGCTTCTCTGGCCCTTTCACAGGGACCGGCCGTGGAACTGAAGGAGGACGAGCGGCACGGTGAGTCGTGGGCGCTGCATGTGTCTGCGTGTGTGCTTGGAGGAACAGGCCTGGGGGTCACACGGCCATGGGCGGGGAGTGGGTCTCAGCCCTGTGTCTGGCTGTGCCGGGTCCCATGTCAGCCACTGGCTGGCGCTGACGGGTGCCAGGGAGGGCCCTGCGTGTTCGGGCGTCACTGATGGAGACACTGCGTTTTCACAGGGGGGCTCGTCAAAAAGATCCTGGAGACCAAGAAGGACTACGAGAAGGTGCAGCAGCTGAGGTCCGGCGAGAAGGTAGCCTGTTCCCCGTGGCCTCAGTGCCCCATTCCCCACGGTCTCAGTGTCTCCGTTCCCCGCAGTCTCAGTGCCCCCATCTTCCCTGTGGGCATCTCCCTGTTGCTCTCCCGGGAAGTTCGTCACTGAGACACCTGACCCAGTGGAAGGGAGATAACTGGGGTCTTCAAGGGAGGTATCGCTTCCCTGGCCGTGTCCCCACTTTCTCCTGGGTGGCGTCAGGGACAAGGTCAGCAAACCACTAGGCAACCCCAGGGCTGCCCTTCGTCCAGGTCCAGCCCCTGCTCTGGGGTTATGACCTTTCTTCTCCCTCTGCTCCTTGGTCCATCCTGGCCGCTGGGTGCTGCTGTGCTGGGTGCCGCATGTGCGTTGAGAAAGAGGCTGCTCTCTCTCCCCTGATCTCTGTGGCGCTCCACCCTGGTCTCCCTGGACTCCCCTGGCCTCCCCTGGCCTCCCCTGGTCTCCCCTGGCCTCCCCTGGCCTCCCCTGGCCTCCCCTGGCCTCCCCTGGCCTCCCCTGGCCTCCCTGGCCTCCCGTGGTCTCTGTGACACTCAGGTGTTGTTCCTGTGGTCCTTACGCTACTGTGTGCCGGGCTGTAGGGGCTGGTGTACCCCAGCGAGGTGGCAGAGGTGGCTGCCCCCCAAGAGGCTTGGGTCGGGCTGGTCAGCTCTGGAGCGGTTCAGACCCTGGAAGGGGGAAGGAGACAGAAGCACTTGTTCTGTGGCCTGTGCCACTGTCACAGCCTCCAGTGGCGCTCTCCTCGCGTCTGCTCAGACCACACCGTCCCCGTTTCACGAGACAGGAAGCGGAAATGGGCAGGAGAATTAAAGCCCAGCCCGTGTTCCGGGTCATCGTGGTGGCGGCCCTGCCGTGGGTGGCTGGTGTCCCTTGCCCACGTCTGCCGTGTCTCCACTCTCCTGGCCCTGCGCTGCTGTCACGTGCCCTGGCCTGGTGTCCGCACCCTCCTGCAGGGCCCCCGGCTCAGGGGTGGCCGCGTGGGTGCTCGTGGGCTCCTGGAGCCGTTCCTGGCCACGCCCCGCCCCCCCGGCTGGTGTTGGGTGCTGGACCCAGGGTGGTGCTGGGGGGTCTGGGCTTCCGGGATGAACAGGCCTGACCCTGGGCCTACTTCCGCTTCCTTTCCCTCTTACTCCCCCCCTTGCCGTCACGTGCCCAGTGGCTTTGGCAGGTGGTGACGTACACTTCAGTGGCGCTTAGGTACTGCCATGCTGCGTACTGCTGGGATGACAGTCCCTCACAGCCGCCCTCACTGTCCCTCACAATGCCTTCACTATCCCCTCACTGCCCCTCGCTGTCCCTCACTATCTCCTCACTGCCCCTCACATCTGCCTCACTGTCACTGTCCCCTTCCTGACTCTCCATCGCCATCTTTCACAGGCACGATGGCCCGCTGTCGCCCTCTGTGTGGCCCAGGGCAGCATGGGTCGCCCCGTGGTGGTCGTGCCCCTGCGGGGTCAGACGCAGGCCTGCACAGGAGCTGCTGCCCGCCGGGACGCCCTTGGCCCTCAGGCCGCTCCGCCTGTGACCCTGCTCCCGGGCTCAGCCGCCAGGCACTGTGGCCGCACCAACATCCCTTCCAGGGGCCCAGGCGAGAGGCCGCGTGCGCCCGTGCCCCTCTGTGCCCTGGTCGTGCCGACACACTGTGGACGCGGCGGTCGGCAGTGTCAGCTGGCGGGGGCTCCCTGCTGGCCCGAGATGCTCGGACCCGATCGTGCTTGGGTGCTGAATCTGAGTCTTCTTCGCCCTGTCTGCAGGTGCTGCTTCCTGCCAGAGGTGTCCTCTCAGGCTCTGCGTACTGTGCTCCCATGCACAGTGCTCGGGCTCTGCGTGCCGGACTCTCATGTGTAGTGCTTGAGCTCTGTGTGCTGCGCTCCTGTATGCAGTGCTCGGGCTCAGCGTGTCGTGTTCCCGTGTGCAGTGCTCGGGCTCTGTGTGTTGTGCTCCCATGTGCAGTGCTCGCGTGTTGATTGTGCACGTGGTCCAGATGGGCCCGTGGCCGGTGCGCCTGTCACTCTCGACTTCAGCCGAGGGCTGTGCTGCAGGTGTCCGCGCCCTCAGTCCCAGCCGCCGCACGCAGTGCAGCAGCGCCCGGCACAAAATGCCAGAAACAGCCACAGAGGGCTCGGGCAAGCGTGGGGGTTGGCCTCTGGGCTCCCAGGCTCTGCTGGTGCCAAGTGGCCATCCCGGCCCGGCGGGGCCTCCCCCTCCCCCTCCCCTCTCTACTCATCCTCTCCCTCCTTCATCTTCCCCCTCCCTGTTCTCCCCTTCCTCCCCTTTCCTGTCCTCCTCTCCTCCTTTCTCTCTCTTTTCCTCCTTCACCCCTCCCTCTCCTCCCTCTCCTCCCCTCCCCTCCCCATTCTCTCCCTCCTCTCCTCCCCCTCCTCCTCCTCTTCCCCATCTTCCCTCCTCCCCCTCCTCCCCTTCCCCTTCCCCATCCTCTCTCTCCGCCTCCCCTTCCCCATCTCCCCCCTCCCCCTCCTCCTCCCTTGTTCTTCCCCCTCCTCCTGTTGACGAGACAGAGTGGACTCTCTTTTTTTTCCTGGGTGCTTGCCCTTCAGGTTCTCTGTCTCCCCTCAGGCGTGCTTTATCCTGAACTTTGCGTCTCTTGAATATGAAATTGATATTTGACCCCTGGCCGTGTCTGACTGCATGTTCGAAGAATATACCCCATGATATTAGTTACTTGCAGTCAGGTCATTTTTGTGGACTGGCCTCCAGGGCTGCCCCCGGTGGTCTCGCTGGTTGTATCTTGAAATGTTTCTTGATGGGTAAAGTGACATTGTGAACAGATTCTATCATGGAATATGATAATTGCATTACAATGTATCCAAACATATTGTATTGTGTCATTGCTATAAGCAACTGCATGTAAGGGGCAGCAGCTAGAGTCAGCGACCCCTCAGCACCGCAAGGAATGGCCCCAACACAAAACAGCATTTTTGATGTTGCCACTAGATGGAGCAATTTCACGACAAATCCTTCAACGGTGCGCAAGCGCTTCGGATCCCTGGAATGGGAAAAGTGTTTCTAGTTGAGATGTTTGTGCTTCTATGTAACACCATCAGATGTTCTTTCCTATCCTAGGAATTTTGTTTCCACTAAAATTACATGTGCTGGGGCTGGAGCCATAGCACAGCGGGGAGGGCGTTTGCCTTGCACGCGGCCAACCCGGGTTCGATTCCCAGCATCCCATATGGTCCCCTGAGCACCGCCAGGAGTGATTCCTGAGTGCAGAGCCGGGAGGAACCCCTGTGCATCGCCGGGTGTGACCCGAGAAGCAAAAGAAAAAGTAAAATAAAAAAATACAATTACATGTGCTTTGATATTCTCTGGTGAGTTAATAACAGCTAAGCTGATGCTATTGACATTGATTTTTATCAGAGCTTTGTGTTTTATTCTTTTTATTTGTTTTGTTTTGGGGCCACACTCAGCAGGGCTCAGGGCTCACTACTAAAAAAAAAATCTGCACTAAAAAAAAAAAAATCACTCTCGGCGGGCGCAGGGGACCATTTGGAGTGCCCAGAACCGAACCCGGGTCAGCTGCAGGCAAGACGAGCGTCCTCCCTGCTGTCCTGTCATTCTGGCCCCACTGTCTTAAGGTGTTCCAGTAATGGTCTCATGCTTCAGGAGGCAGCGAAGGCAGAGACACCGTCAGTAGCACTCAAGGGCATTTACAGGTATATGCCACATGTGTGTCGCAAAAACTCAGAGGTGGCTTGAAACCATGGGAATCCCAGTGTGTGATCTGGAACTTCAGTGAGAACCGTGGAATCCCTGTGTGTGGTTTGATAATTCAGTTGGGTTTCATAGGACAACCAAGTTGTCTTCATGGAGACAAAGATCTTGGCATGGAGCAAGTGGCCGTGTGTGTCCTTTGCTGGAAGCATGAGGCCCCTGGGACAGGGAGGCCGTGGGCCCCGCCCACCCCACCAGCTTCTTGGGATGCCTAAGACTTCAGGGTTCTTTGGGCCGCACCTGGCGGTGCTCAGGGTTCGCTCCTGGTGGTGCTCGGGGCCCATTTGTGGGGGCAGGGGGATTGAACCCTAGTGGACCCGTGCCAGGCAGCACCCCTGCCTCACTGCGGCTCCTTTCTGCCCAAGTGCCAGTTGCAGTGCCACGGTGAGCACTGCCCGCACCCTCTGTGTTCACGAGTCCAGCACATCCCATGGCCTTCCTCAGTGGCCAACACGGATTTTCTTCATTGTCTGGGGTTGTGGTGGCCTGCACTGCAGGGTGGAGGTGTTTGGGGGGGCGGGGCCTGAGGTGGGGCGGGGCCTGTGGGACCGGGTGGAGGCGTGGCCTGGGCGTGCCCTGTGGGCTGGGGCGGGGCCTGGGTGGGGCAGGTTCCATGGGGCCTGCTGGTTCCTGGCTGGGGCTGTGCCCTGGCCCCCGTGGGTGTGGACCCTGAGCTAGGGGAGCTCTGGGAAACGTGCCTTTGTGATGTGGGCCGCAGTGGGCAGCGAGTGGGGGCTGGGCCCTGGGCAGTGGCCCTTGGCCCGGGTCTCACCTGTTAATGGAGTCCAGTGACAGACCCAAACAGGCCGTGAGGTCTCAGGACTGGTCCGAGCACATGGCCCTCAGCGGCCCCACACTCCACCCCCCCATCCCCCACTTCCGCGGGTTGGGGGCAGTGGAGGGCGCCTGCGTGGAACCAGAGAGGGTGGAGAGGAACCCCGTGGCCCTGACGCCTGCCGGGCCTGAGCTTTGCCTTCGGCCTCTGTCCCTGCCCTGCCCTTGGGAACCGTTTACTGTTTGCTGCAGGGAGTGCAGGTGGGTGGTGGGGCTCAGTGTGGGAGTACCCCAGCCCAGTGCTGGCATCCTGGAATGGACCCCTCTGCCAGGCAGCCGTGTCATGTGCCCTGGCGTCAGCGCGGTCTCTGGGGACTGACTCAGCTGGGGGGTGCCTGCATGTGATGCTGAAGCTCCAGGAAAATTCAGTCCCACGGAGGGGAAGTGACATGACCATGTGTGTGCGTGTGCGTGTGCGTGTGTGTGTGTTTGCATCATGTTCATTGTTCGTTTGTCGAATTCCAGAACACTTTGTACTCCCGGGTGTGAGCGAGGGGTGCGCCCATGTTTTGTTAGATTTTGAGAGTTGGGGTAATTGTTGCGTTTCAATGTTCTTGGTATGATTAGGTGTCCAGGAAACTTAGTTTTTTTAGTTTTGTTTTGTAGGGAGCTGGAGCGATAGCATAGCGGTTAGGGCGTTTGCTTTGCACGAAGCCAACCCAGCCGACCCGGCGGACCGAGTTCAATTTCTCCGCCCCTCTCGGAGAGCCCGGCAAGCTACCGAGAGTATCTCGCCTGCACAGCAAAGCCTGGCAAGCTCCCCGTGACATATTCAATATGCCAAACACAGTAACAACAAGTCTCACAATGTTACTGGGCCCACTCGAGCAAATCGATGAAGAACGGGAGGATAGTGCTACAGTGCTTTGTAGGGGAGGGTGGGCCACACCCAGCTGTGCTCAGGTCTTACCCCTTGCTCTGTGCTCAGAGCTCACTTCTGCTGATTCTCAGGGACCTTGCAGAGTCCTGGGGTGAGTTGGAGGCTGGCCTTAAATCCGGTCAAGCCTCCTGCTGAGTGGGGTCCCGCGTGGGAGATGGGGGTGGTGATGCCTTTCTCAAAGCTGCCCTTGAGGAAGAGGGGGTGGAGGTGGGCTCAGGGCAGCTGTGGACCTCTGTGGTCGTCTGAGCCGACGATGGCAGTGGGCAGGGGGCGAGCCGCAGGGTTTCCTGTGGTGCCCTGGTCTCTCTGAGTCTCCCTGCGCTCTCCCTGACCATGCAGGTCATGGACACTGGGTGGGCCCAGATCTGGACCCTTCCCCTGACTCTTGGGCCTCATTGGGTTCCATCCCTGACATCCATATGGTCCCCCAGCACTGACAGGAGTAATTCCTGAGTGCACAGCCAGGACTAACCCTTGAGCATCGCCATGTGTGACCCAAAAAGAAAAAAAGGAAAGAAAGAAAGACCAAAAAGAAAACCCCACATATGAATTTTCAGCAGAGTGTGTCTTGGTGAGGTCTGTTCTCAGATGGTGGAGTTTGGCCAGGGGCGTGGTGGCGCTGTTGGATTGTGGGAGTGAGCAGCTGCCAGGGCTCTGCTTGGGCGGGCACCAGGCTGACCCACCCCACTCCGATTTACCTGTGTGTTCAGCCTTGCACAGGTCTGAGATTAACTGCGGTTTTGATCTTTCTGAGATTTACTTATGGGTCTCTGAAGCAAGGCTGGTCGAAGAGCTTCCACGGTGGTGCTGGAGTTGTTCGCGGGGGTGACTGCCGCTGCTTCCAGGAGTCCAGTGCTCGTATGAGCCTATGTGGCTGAGCAGCTGTGGTTTGCTGGTGTGGACTATTGCTGCATACCTAACTTTTGACCGTGTAATTTCTAGGGACACTTGATCCTGAGTTGTTGGGTCTGGCGAGAGGCACAGCGGCAGTGTTGGGATATCAGGAAGCCTGAGGGCACCTCAGGCTGCTGATGGGCTTGCCGCCACCCCCCACAGGTTGACCTGCTGGCAGCACTGTCCCCTCTTCCCCCACCCGTGAGGGTTTTAAGCCCGCGCTGTCCTAGTGTCCGGCCCCGGGCAGTTGCTCTCGCAGGCCTGCTCTGTGCCTCAGGACGGGGGCTCCTTTTTCTGCAGGCCCCTCCCGTGGGGTGCTCGGAAGCAGCATGAGTGCCTGGTCTGTGCTACTTTGTTCATTAGGGATCGTGGTCTCAGATTCAGTGTATGATAGGGACCTGCAGTTCCGTGTCCCCTATGACCGTGGGGACCTGTGGTTCCGTGTGTCCAGTGTGCCCAGAATTCTGTGTCCCCTATGACCTTAGGGACCCATGTCCTGTGTGCCCTCAGGGGCCCACGGTTCTGTGTCCCCTGTGCCCTTAGGGGCCTGCGGTTCCGTGTGCCCTTAGGGTCTCGTCTCACGTGCACTCAGTGGGTTTGCTGCTCAGATTCCCTTTGTTTACCACAATGGCCTGCAAAGGAGCTTCTGCTTTTCCGCTTTCCAGTGCCGGCCAAACCCTGGCTTGACCTGTCCAGGCGGCACCCCACTCGGAGCCTGTCTCCAGCCTCAGGTTCTGGGTCCTTCCAGTCTGCACTTAGGGAACTCCTGGCGGTGCTCAGGGGGCCATAGGAGATGCCGGGGATTGAACTCGTGTCATCTGTGCTCAAGGAAAACGCTCTCACCTGCTGGACTGTCGCTCCGGCCCCTGCCAGGGCTGCTTTCGTTGGATTCTTTCCATCCTTTCAGAGTTGCTGCTTGGCCCTTGTGTGTGATCTCTCTGTCCCTCGCTCCCTGTAAAGAGCTCTCTTCTCCCCTCTCAGTATTAAGCTTCTCCTTTCCCGTGTTACTTTTCCTGATGGCTGAGCTCTTTTGGTTCAGGACTAAGAGCCCCTGCAGCAAGGCCCCGCCCCCGGGAGGCCGCACCCCTTAACAGACCCGCCCGAGAGGCCCCGCCCCTCAGCAGGTCCCGCTCCCGGGCCGCGCCAGGTAACCGGGGGCCCCAGGTCTTAGGTCGGTTTGTCACTTTGTGTCCTGGCCCTCAAGTCCAGCGTGTTTGCAGCTCTCCAAGTGCGTGGGGTGCCTTGCGTGCTGCCCTTCTCTCTGCTCCCCACAGCTGGGCCCCCTTCTGCAGGGCCCGCAGGCCTGGCAGAGTGGCCGCAGCTGGTGGACAGGGCAGGGCCCTCTCATGGGCTCCCTGCAGCTGGTGGCGGTCCATCTTGCTCCCTCTCAGGGTCTCAGTCCCCCGCCCTTTGCTCTTCCTGTTGCGTCTACCCTATGTGTGGTGAGGACTGGGGGGGGGGGGGGGGGGGGCGGGTGGGGGAACAGGCACCCCTGGCTGTGGCGCCAGGCCCGTGCTGGATGTGGGGCCCTAAGTGCGCCTCCTCCCTGCGCCCGCGTGTCCAGCCTCATGCCCGGGACACGCTCTGCTGCTGGTGCCCGGCAACTGAACAGGCCACCTGCTCGGAGGCACTTCGTGGGGGTCCGCAGTGCCCACCTCTACTCCTGGCACCCTTGTGTTCTGGGTGGACCTGGGTGGAGGCTGCAGGCAAGGGGACTCCTCGAGGATGTGCCGCTCTCTGCTGCCCTTCATGGGAGCCCCCCCGCCCCCCACCGTTCCTCTGCTTTGTTCTCAGCCCCTGCCTCCTGTTAGTGCCCAGATGGAATCGGCTTTGGACGGTGGGCGGGGCTGCTGGCACCGCCAGGCGGGTGTTTACCTCGGGGCATATTTTAAAAGATTGGTGTATTTTAAAAGATTTATAGGATTTAAACTGTAGCTACAATAGATTTTAGAATTCCATCAGGGATGCACGTAAGGACAAAAGTTCACAGTTAAGAATTTCTGATCTTGTTGTAAGTTGCGTATCTTCCTGTAAAACTCCTAGTGAAATGGAATCTATCCTGGGGGAAGCCGTGAGCACGGCTCTGCGCTGTAGAGAACAGAGCCGACGACCGGGGCGTCTGGAGGAGCACGGCTGTTCTGCTGCCAGCCGCCAGCAGGGTCGGGTGGGCGCTTCCTGCTCCTTCACGGCGGGTCTTTGGGCGAGGGGAACGGGGCGAGGCTGTCCCCACATGGGGCGCTTTCAGCTGAGACAGTCGGGGGGCTCCACAGGGTGGGGCCGTGGTGTGCAGCTGGCACTGCCCTGGGTGTGGTTGTGGCCTGCAGAAGGAGTGGGGGGGGATCTCCACAGTGTCCAGTTTCCGGTTCTGTCTGACATCCGACCCAAGACACGTCTTATAGCTGACGTTCGCCACCATAACCCTGGGGGTCAGCTCCTTCCTCAGGATGGTCCCCACACTCTGCTGAGTCCCAGACTGAGCCCCCCCGACCAGCGGGCAGCTCGAATCTGTGTGTCCCCCTGGGGGAGGACCGGTCTCGTCACCCTCCTGCCATGCGCCCAGCCTTCACGGTTCCTTTGTTGAGCTCCGAGCGGGGGTGGGCTCTCTCTGCCAGCTGTGAGCTCTGGGGGGCAGCTCCCTGGCCTGCCCCGCGTGCTCTCCAGGCCCGTCCTGGCCATGTGCATTGGTGTTCACTGTCCACTCAGCTCTTGGCGCTGGGAGGCCTCAGTCCTGGTCCTCGCACGGTCTCCGCCTGAGTCACAGCTGGCATCTGAGGTGACGTGACTCCAGTCTGCATCTCTGTGTTCAGGTGTGGGGCCAGGCCCTTGCCCACCCTGGACTCTGTCCCTGTGTGTCTCTGTGGGTCTGTCCTGCCCCCGCCCTCCGTGCACAGGGGCCCGAGGCCTCCGCCCTTCTCACCAGCCCACCCCTCAGCTCTGTCTCGGGGGAGGGTGGCAGCCTGCCAGAGGCCCCGTGTCCAGCCATGCCAACAGGCAGTGTGGTCAGCGGACACTCGCCACAGTGCTCCCTCCCCTGCGCCTGACCGAAGTTGCGTCGTCTCCCGCCCCAGGAGAAGTCGCTTATCTTTGAATCCGCTTGGAAGAAGGAGAAGGACATCGTCACCAAGGAGATCGAGAAGCTTCGTACCTCCATCCAGAGCCTGTGCAGGAGCGCGCTGCCCCTGGGCAAGGTCATGGACTACATCCAGGAGGACGTGGACGCCATGCACAATGAGCTCAGCCTGTGGCGCCAGGAGCGACGGCAGCACGCTGAGGCGCTGCAGAAGGAGCAGAGGTGGGAGGGGAGGGGAGCAGGGGCAGGGGGGGGCGGGGGCAATCTCAGGCTCTCCCTCCTGCTCTCTGAACCCCGCACAGGGCGTGTCTCGGTGGGCTTCACACACAGATGAGGTGGCCTGCCAGGGCTGGCAGGAGCACAGGGCTGGGGCACCTACCTCGCACGCAGCTGCTCCTGGTTCCATCCTTGGCACCTCCTGATCCCTAAGTTACGCCAGGAGTGACCCCGAGCACCACTGGGGAGCCCCCCACCCCCACACCCCCGCATGGGTGGGAGCCCCGCAGGTGCAGGGTCTGTTTGCACCGAGCTCAGGCTCAGCACTGTTGCACTGTGCGGGTCTCCTGCCGTCTTCCTGGAGCAGAAGGCTGGCGTGCCACTGCAGGCGTGCTTCGGCCGGCACAGCGCGGGGATGTACCAGGGCCAGCTTTGCGCGTCTGTTGCCTCGTCTGCATGAGCCCGTCCGTGTTTGCCCACCCGTGTTTGCCCCTCCATTTTGGCCTGTTCATGTTTGAGCCCCGTGTTTGCCCATCGTATCTGTGTCCCATGTTTGCTTATCCGTGTTTGTGCCCCATGTTTACTGTTCGTGTTTGTCTGTTCGAGTCTCCCTGTCCGTGTTTGCACCCCATATTCGCCCATCCGTGCTTGCCCATCCGTGTTTGTGCCCGTGTGCTGGGTGCAGGGAGCTCTCAACTCTCAACGCTTCCGTGGAAGCTCTTGCATCCAGTGCTCTTGTGCCAGGACACGCTGTTCTGTCTGTTTGTTGGGTGGGTCAGCCCAGCACTCCTTCGGGAGCCAAAAATGTCAGTGTCCCTGGTGTTAGCGGGCCCGTGGGCACTGCCCAGCTGGCCATCGTGTGCCCTGGAGGTGGCTAGCGTGGGCAGGCACATACCGCCGGCACCTTCCCAGCCTTGGCCAGCAGCGACCTGGGAGTTCCGCCGGCCAGAAAGATGGCTGCTCAGTGTGGTGGGGTGCTGGGTGCTGCTGGGCCAGGCTCCCCCCCGGGTGTCCCCACGTTTTGGAAGTGTTAGCCCCTTGGTGGTTTGTCTTTGTGCCAAGCCCTCAGGAGGGAGCTCCCTGTCTGTTGCATCTTGTACCCACCGGCCACACCCCTTTCCTCTGGGTGAGAAAGTGCTTCCGGGGTCTGATGCCCTTCCCTGTGCCGCCAGCATTACCGACTGCGCCGTGGAGCCGCTGAAGGCAGAGCTGGCGGAGCTGGAGCAGCTCATCCGGGACCAGCAGGACAAGATCTGCGCCGTGAAGGCCAACATCCTCAGGAACGACGAGAAGATCCAGAAGCTGGTCTACACCCTGAGCGCCAGGCGCTGAGCGGCCCCGGGGACCCCTACTTGCCCGCCATAAATCGCTCCTGCAGACACAGGTGTGAGGCGTCTCTTTGCGGGGCTCTTGCGTTTCCGTGCACGTTGGTCCCAGGTTGCGCTGTTGGCGCGCACGGAGGGCGGCTCCTGGGTCCGGCCGGCCAGTGACGGAGGCTGGAAGCACGCAGTCTGTAGTGGGCCCAGGGCAGGGAGCGTCCACTCTCTGGGAGGAGCACGCGCCCTTTCTTGTCCCTGAAGGTCGTGTCCACGCGGCTTCTTGGAGCTTTTCCTGAATGGTCCCTCTTACCTCTTGCTCGGGCTTCCATCACCAAGTGGAGAACGCAGCCCCGTGGACAGTGTGCAGGCTGTGGCTGTCGGGCTGCAGTCCCCTCTCCCTGCTGGGCCCAGGGTCCCCTTCAGAGGCCCAGGTGGACCCCATGTGGGAATCCTGTTCTCTGTAAGAAGAACCTTTTTGCCCAGTTTTGGGGTCCGCCCTCGGCACCCCGACACAGGTGGTCCAGGGCCACTTGCTCCTGAAAGGATGTTCTGATCCCCAACATGTTTTCATGTTACCATTTTTGGGGAAATTGTTTTTTTAAAGCAAAGGGTCTTTAAAACCTGGTTTTTATTTCCTTTTTCCCATGTCTCATACTTTAAGTGCCGGTTCTGGCCTTCACTGGTGTTGGGGGGTCCCACCACGCAGACCCCTGCTGGACCTGACTCTCTCGTTTTCTCATCTTGCTCATCAGAGACCAAAGCTGACATGTTAAGTGTTTGGATGATCCCCAAACATTTTCTTGAAGGATTACCACAAATGGCATGGTTTAGTTCCTTTTCCCTGTGGGGAAGGGGGAGTCCCCGGCATTGCTCAGGGCTCCCCGCCTCGCCCTGCTGGGAGCCCCATGCTCTTCAGGGTGCGGAATCGGGGCTCTGCATGTGGGCCTGTGCCCCGCTTGGTAGTTCACAAGCAATTGCCCAAGTCCTGCGCTGGGAAGCTGGTCTCTCCTCAGCACCGCACACACTCCGCCATCTGCTGCGTGCGTGAGCCCACCAGCACATTCAGCCACATGTGCACAGCGGTCTGCACCTCTGTTCTTCCAGTTAAAGCGCCACTTTTCGTGAATTTGTATCTGTGCTAGAACTTTTGTGTTTCCAAAAAAAATGACACACATTGTATGCCAGTAAGATTTTGTATGAAGTAGCCTGTCAAATCGTATCATAAAGTTTATTTTTGTTTTATACATGAATCATTAAAGATGATCACGTATTTTTTCTCTAAGCCTTGGGTTGTGTAATTTAGTTTACACCTGAAAAGAAAATGTATATGCATCTAAACTCCGATTTTGAAACGTGCATTTTGTTTTTCTTCCTACGGAATTTCGGGAATCCACAGGTTTTCACTCCTAGCATGACACTTCACTTTTCTGTGTAAACGGAAGTCCGAACAGGTGAAGTGGTTTTGAGAAATCTTAGGGTGCTCCAGTGTCGGGAGACTGCGTGTGGTCACTGCGTGTCCCTGCCTGGGCTGCTCCAGTCCCACTGTTGTGTCCCACCTTGAGAGCCCTCTGAGGGGAATGGTCGCATCTCTTTTAAGCTTTATTTCAGTTTCACAAGTTTGGGAGAAGGACTGAGATCAAACTGTAGGGATTTCAGTTTAAAAGTTGAACTGGTGGGGCCAGAGCGATAGGCCACAGGGAGGACACCGCCTTGCATGCTGCCGACCCTCATTTCATCCCTGACATCCCTCTGGCCCCTGAGCCTGCAAGGGCGATCCCTGGGGGCAGAGCTAGGAGTAACTCCTGGGCACCGCTGGGTGTGGCCTAAAGTCAAATGAAAACAATCAGAAAGGCACTAGGGCATATCCAAAGGAAATACTTCAACCTTTGAGGAAAAACGATTCAGACAAAAATTCGAGCTGTTTTTTCTTGGCTTGCTTGTCCCCACTGGCTCCTTGTGGTGCCCAGCACTGTCCCAGCGCTGCCTGGACAGAGCGTTTCACTTTGATTCTTATCTTTAGCTTCCGCTAAGCACCATAGCGGTGCTCCTTGCAGAAGTCTCCTTTCCGTGTCATTTTACTGTCTTGTTAAGGAGAAAAATCAGCCCCCGACCCACAGCATTGGGGCCAGAGGTTAGGGGGTGGTTGGGCCCCATGCCCGGCGGGTTCTCCCCACATCCCAGTGTCCTTGGGGCTGAGGGTCCCTGTTGAGCCTTGCATGGGGTGGGTGGGAATGTGACGTAGACAGGAAACGTGTCGGGGTCCTTCCCCAGGCAGGGGCACTCCTGACAGTGCCAGCCCCGTCTGCGTCTTCGCCCCTGGACTTTCCAGGAGCCCCATGAGGAGGCAATGCAGCGAGTGATCCAAAGTGACCCTCAAGCTCTCTCTGGCCAGCACAGGGATCGCCTGTGCCCAGTGCCGGGTCCCGGAGCTGCTCAGCAGCCCTGTATGGTACAGCGCCCCTAGATTTGGGTCTTGGGGTGCCGCCTACGGAGCCACCCACGGAGCCCTTGGTGCTGGCAGCTCCCAACTGGGTGGTGTCGGGTGCGGAAGAGCTAGTGGGTGCAGGTCCCCACTTCAGCTGATGTCAGCGTACCCCGACTTCACAGCGGAGGAAGGAAATGTGCCAGTTTTCAGAACCTACTGACTGCCGAGTGTCTGCTCAGTGGCCGCCTGAAGCCAGGTCAGCTGGCCTCTCTGGTAAGAAGAGCGGGTTCAAGGGGAGCCCCTAAAGCGGAAGGAGCAGGCGGGGCTAGGGTCAGGCAGGGGAGGGGAGCATGGCGAGACCCTCCACCGCGCTCGGCCGTGTATGATGTGGGTCACCTGCAGGGTCCCTGCTCAGGTCTCTCATCCGCTGCTGCCTGGCCTGCGCCCCCGGAAGCCTCGTGTCCAGAGCACAGACCTGTGACAGGTCACACGAACAGTGTGTGGGGTGTGATGGGTTGTGACAGGCCCAGGACCTCAAAGGCTGTCTGTGCTGCTGTGGCCTCAGCCTGTGCACCTGGATGTGCATGTCCCCTGCCATGGGAGCGGATGTCACGGCTGCACGCTCTGGGGACTCGGACCCTGGGCCAGGGAGGGCCCGGAGCAAGGATATGTGCACAGATGGGAGCGCCTGAACCTGAGGCCCAGACAAGCCCCCTCATTCCCCCCCCCCGTTGAAGATTTGAGCGCATTTGCCAAACCCAGCCTTGAGTGTTTGGCTGAGGCTCTGGGGTGTGTGTGTGTGTGTGTGTTTGTGTGTGTGTGTGTGTGTGTTGGGGTGGGATTCGGGGGGCTGTTCCTCCTGTGCCAGGATTGAGACCAACAGCCCCCCTCCTACGGCCTTCAAACTTGTGCTCCTGGGTCCCGGAGTCTGCACCTGCTAGAATACGCTGTGCCACTGACCTGTCTCGGGGACCCTCAATGAGGGGTGAGATGATTGTAAGTGACAGGGCCAAGTGGTTGCCAGTGAGCTGCGGGAGGGCTCCCCCTTTGCCCCCTGTGCACCGTCTCCGAGGGGCACCTCTGAAGCCTCTCTCCTTGCCTCGCATGATGCTTCTGGCTATGAGGGAACGGGCAGCAGAGGTGGGGCGCAGACACCACTCTGCTCTCGGCCGACCTGTCCCTCGCACCGTGAGGCCTGGCCGTCTCGGGGGCTGCGGTCCGTGCTGTGCAGTTGGAACTTAAAACTAAACAGACTTCCTTGAGGAAACAGGCGCCTCCTGGCCCCGTGCTTTTACGGGCATTTCCCGAGAACGCTTTCCCTCTCTGGGAAAGGAAACGCACAGGATGTAATTAAAGCCATTAGCCGCGTGCAGGCTGGCCCGCGCCCTAAGTGCTTCTCCAACGCGGAGCAGAAGGGAGTCTGGCGCGGATCCCGCAGGGACAACCGAGCTTCAGGGGCTCAGAAACAGCCTTGCCCTGGGCCTGCTGTGTCACCTGGTCCGACGGTCTCTCCCGCCCCCGGGCTGTTTCCGGCTCATGACCTTGGAGAAAAGAAAATCAACCCCATGTCGTCTTCATAGGGAAAGGACATCTCTGGGGAAAGCCGAGCCCGGGCTGGAGGGCTCCGTGCCCGCTGGCCTCACGCCCCTTCCTGTTCCCTTTCCCATGTTTCTTGGGAACTCTAGCTCCAGTGCTCAGAGGAGGGCCAGCTCTCGGGCTGGAACTCTAGCTCCAGTGCTCAGAGGAGGGCCAGGTCTGGGGCTGGAACTCTAGCTCCAGTGCTCAGAGGAGGGCCAGCTCTGGGGCTGGAACTCTAGCTCCAGTGCTCAGAGGAGGACCAGCTCTCGGGCTGGAACTCTAGCTCCAGTGCTCAGAGGAGGGCCAGCTCTCGGGCTGGAACTCTAGCTCCAGTGCTCAGAGGAGGGCCAGCTTTCGGGCTGGAACTCTAGCTCCAGTGCTCAGAGGAGGGCCAGGTCTGGGGCTGGAACTCTAGCTCCAGTGCTCAGAGGAGGGCCAGCTCTCGGGCTGGAACTCTAGCTCCAGTGCTCAGAGGAGGGCCAGGTCTGGGGCTGGAACTCTAGCTCCAGTGCTCAGAGGAGGGCCAGCTCTCGGGCTGGAACTCTAGCTCCAGTGCTCAGAGGAGGGCCAGGTCTGGGGCTGGAACTCTAGCTCCAGTGCTCAGAGGAGGGCCAGCTCTCGGGCTGGAACTCTAGCTCCAGTGCTCAGAGGAGGGCCAGCTCTCGGGCTGGAACTCTAGCTCCAGTGCTCAGAGGAGGGCCAGGTCTGGGGCTGGAACTCTAGCTCCAGTGCTCAGAGGAGGGCCAGCTCTCGGGCTGGAACTCTAGCTCCAGTGCTCAGAGGAGGGCCAGGTCTGGGGCTGGAACTCTAGCTCCAGTGCTCAGAGGAGGGCCAGCTCTGGGGCTGGAACTCTAGCTCCAGTGCTCAGAGGAGGGCCAGCTCTGGGGCTGGAACTCTTGCTCCAGTGCTCAGAGGGCCAGCTCTCGGGCTGGAACTCTTGCTCCAGTGCTCAGAGGAGGGTCAGCTCTCGGGCTGGAACTCTAGCTCCAGTGCTCAGAGGAGGGCCAGCTCTCGGGCTGGAACTCTTGCTCCAGTGCTCAGAGGAGGGCCAGCTCTCGGGCTGGAACTCTTGCTCCAGTGCTTGGAGGAGAGCCAGTCTCGGCGGGAACTCAGGGCGTGTACAGGGTTCCAGAGGATTCTCGGGAGTGTGGGGATGTGGGCAGCGAGGT